GCCAGGGCTTAGGGCAAGCCAGGGCTTAGGGCAAGGCGTGCTTTAAAGACTACCTAGCTATGCAAACGCTTAGGGCAAGCCAAGGCTTAGGGCAAGCCAAGGCTTAGGGCAAGGCCTACTTTAAATGAGTTTAAAGCAAGGACTTGACTTGGGCGCCAACCTGTGTTGGCGAACCCTAAACCCTCAAGAACAATTAAACAGAAGCTATATAGGGTAGAGTTGAGCCCTGGACCCTCGAAGCACAAGCAAAAAGCAAAAAAAAAAACTTTTTTTTTCCCCTGAACCCTATATAGCTTCTATAAACCCTAAACCCTAAATTCCCACCCGGCCTGCTTAGGCCGTTCCCACCCATAACTGGGTGACCAGACACTGAAGATACCCGACAGCCCATCACACCAGCTCATGGTAGAACAATGGGTGGTGCCTTTGGAGAATGGTCTAATAGAGCCTCTAAGGCTTAGCTTTGCCTCAGGACAGCTATCGCTGTGCCAATCCTATACAAGGATACCTTGATATTCCCTAGGAAGGGAATACCCTAAAACTGGGGCGGGAAGCCCTCTACCCTGCAACATAGCTCTCGTGGTGCAGGATTGCCTTTAACAGCCCCTGGTGCCTCCCTGGTGCCTCCCAGGCTGTCCAAATGGTCCTTTCCTGCCTCCCTGGTGCCCCCCTGGTGCCTCCCAGGCTGTCCAATTAGTCCTTTCCTGCCTCCCTGGTGTCTCCCTGGTGCTTCCCAGGCTGTCCAATTGGTCCTTTCCTGCCTCCCTGGTGCCTCCCAGGCTGTCCAATTAGTCCTTTCCTGCCTCCCTAGTGCCTCCCAGGCCGTCCAATGAGTCGCCTCCCTGGTGCCTCGCAGGCTGTCCAATTGGACCTTTCCTGCCTCCCAGGGTGCCCCCTGCCTCCCTGGCGCCTCGCAGGCTGTCCAATTGGACCTTTCCTGCCTCCCTGGTGCATCCCAGGGTGCCTCCCTGGGGTTTCGCAGGCTGTCCAATTAGTCCTTTCCTGCCTTTGTGGTGCCTCCCAGGCCGTCCAATGGTCCTTCTTGGGGTCTTGGCACCTCCCGGGCTGTCAAACGGTCTTTCCATGGCGCTTGGCTGTCTCCCGGGCAAGCAAAATCAAAGGCTCGCCTTGGCAGATTACTGGAGTCAATTGGTCTTGCCCTGGCAAATTACTGGAGGCATTCGGTCGTGGGAATTTAGGGCGGAGCCCTAAACCCTAAAAGGCGGAAAATTGGGTGGTAGCCTGCCACACCTAGCGGCGGGAGGGAAAATAGTTTACCACCACAACTCTTGTGGGGTAAAAAACAACCGACAACGATAAACCGGTAACCGCTCAGATGCCACCACCCCCTCTATTTTAAAGAAAAGGGGGTGGTGCCATCTTCGCATGTGATCATCAGCTGCTACGCGGCCGAGACGCCCTTAAACCCTAAACCCGCCCGCCACCCTCTTTTCTAGGTGGCGGGCGTCCCCGAGCGACAGCGAGGCGGACGGCACGCGAAGCTAGGCTGCGAAGCGTGCCTCCCTAGCCCTAAGCTCGAGCCATCACTGCAGGCTAAGCTGAGCCAGCTATAGTCACAATAGATATTCTATAACCCTAAACCCCATTTCGGGAATCGACAAGGCTTAAAGGCAAAAATCATTTTCCTCTTAAAACTTGGCATCAGGCCTTCCCGTCGAACAGATTTGCCTTTAACAGGCCCTGGTGCCTCCCAGGCTGTCCAAAGGTCCTTTCCTGCCTCCCTGGTGCCTCGCAGGCTGTCCAATTAGTCCTTTCCTGCCTTCCTGGTGCCTCCCAGGCTGTCCAATTGGTCCTTTCCTGCCTCCCTGGTGCCTCTGCCAGGCTGTCCAAATGGTCCTTTCCTGCCGGAGACCCGCCGGGGTCTGCCCCCCTTGCCTCGGGCTTACCCTCCGCTAAGCAAATTTCAATGGCGACCAGCTTGTTTTGTGCCAAATCCTGGGGTGGGCCCTACGGCCGGCT